TACCTAGTTGGTTTTTTTTTTCCCCGAAGACTTACTACTGTCATACAGAGAACCACTTAAACAAGGTGAAGGTCCAACCAGCAAGAGAACAGGACACGTGGCAACTATTCAGCCTGTTTCCTACCCAATTTACTTATGTTGATCTTATGTTGGAAGACCAGGAGAAAACCAGTTACTTGCATCTAACTGATGCCTGCTGGTTGTCATCTACGTGTTTTAGACATAAATACAGTTATTGTGTCTCAAGACTGAGTCCAACAAATGACCAGCCTACTACTGGCATAGGAAAGCCTTCATTCCATCTATTGCCCTACCTTCTAACATACACTCCATATAAAATCAAGACTGTATTCAAGCATGTTGCCTCATGCCAAATTGTCCATTTGCTCTAATTAAGTTTTCATTCAGTTTGCCATTAATCTGCAATATTCTGTGTATGTGACTTTTTACACAGACATAAAAACACATGCAAACCAATGTTTTCCAAACTAGGAAAGAAGAAAATCCCCAACCTGACCACTTTTAACTCTTTTGTCTCCATGTACCCTCAGGAGTCTGAAGACATCTGCATGACCTAAATCCTACTGACCATCAGGAAGAGGAGCAGAAACTGCCCAACAGCAGGCAACAGCTGGAAAAGGCTGGTAGGGCAACCAAAGCCTAATCCAAGGCCTAAGAGGTTTTTTTCCTGATTCTGTGGATTTTGACACACAGCCTAACACAGTCCCTGCTCCGTAAGCTACTTAAGGATACGGCCAGTGTTAAGTTAAAGTCCAAGGTAGTACTGGTGTCCTTGAAGACAAGCACATGCTAAGGGAGGCTGCAACTGGTTCCCAGCTCTACTGACCACAAATCTGGTGCTGTTGAACAGAGCCAAGCCTCAGCATTGCCCCAGCAATTCAGAAATGATAGTGATGCTGGCTGTGAGAAGACTCCTGTTGCTGCTTAAGCTGTTGGAGTTGGCTCTCCCCCAGCTGCCCCTGGACCAGTTCCAGCACCTCCCCATCCCTCTGCAGCAGCTCCTTACAGGCTGCAGGCTCATGTGTCCACACATGCCCTGACCACCCGAACCTTGCAAGCTGCTTACCAGAGGCATCACCCCCTTCACCACAGTGATATTGGCGGAGACACCTGTTTTCAGCGCAAATATGATGAGGCTATGGCTGGCAGACGTCTCTCATGATAGCCCTAGGAGTCTGCCTCGTGTGCACTGAGCTCTTCCAGCTTTCAAGGAATGCCATAAAGCTCAGCTTTTCCCACCACCTCTGGAAATATGCCCAGTGCTCTCGTTCACACTCAGTCTTCATTGATGTATGACAGAAAATGTCATCAACCCTCTGCTACTGAGACACCTGAGGTCACTTATATTGCATGGTCATGGAAAGAGCACTTTTGGTAAGTAGGATACTGGCTGCAGTCATCTCTAATCCTGAAAGTGGCTTATTTGATCCATGTAAACTACCATGGACTTGAAACTTAATATTCTGCCCATGTGTTGCAAAGGGTGAAATACAGTTTGGGGGAAGGAAGTAGGATTTTTAACTCCATTAATAGCAGGAATTATTTAGGCACACTTTCTGTGTTTTCAAGATTCCTTGCTACATGTCATATCAGTAATGCCAAAATGCCTTCAAGCAGTAGAATCTGTATAAATAAGTTACGGTGCCATTTTCCATTACAGCTGGAGAGAACACTGCAATCTCTACAGCACATTTCCAGAGAACATCTTCATTTGCAGCACTCGGCTGTAGCAAACTTCGGGAGTTCCTTATCTCCTAATTCAAGATTTCACCATGACTTTGGCTACCTCACCCATTACTGTAATACGTAAAGACTTATCTAGGTCAGGAAACTAAACCTGCTGTAGTGTGGTTTTGATCTAAAGTGGAGCTGACATTTCTCTAGGGTACCTAGGGTAAGGCAGAAGGATCAGCTGGGAGTCACTTTTCTTTTCTAGACATACCAGGAAATTTAAATCTGTGTGCATGGCAGAGTCAGCTAAAATATGCAGAATTAGCAAACTGCTCTCTTAAAAACCTACCTTTTTTAGAACCTTTAAGTCCCTTGACCAGTTCAATCTGTTTGCAGGACACTGACTCTGAATTCAGAGCTCGGCAAAGTCTCTGCTTATGGACTTTGCCATGCACATGGGAGCACTGAGGCCTGGCATTTCCGTAGGTGGAATTAGCTGTTTTAAGGGGAAAGGGACACAGAGAGCACCGGAGGGTTGCAGAGCAGCACAGAGGCTCTTCCAATCACCCTGCTCCTGGACCCAAAATCCCATCACCAAACCAACAACCATCCAGAAAAGGTGACAATTAAATATCTGGCTTTGGATAAAAGTTTGAAGGTTAGAGGCTGAACAACAAAGTGCTTGTTACTGGAGGAAATGCCAGATTTGTAGAGTTAAGCCCTTTTTGATGGTCTAATGCTAAGCTCATTTTTAATGTGGCAGCTCTAACATGCACAGAGGGATTTGCCACTTTTCTGCAAAGTAGCCAGGTACTGGTGTCCAGACAGTTCTACCCAAAGGATTTTGGGGCTAGAAGAGCAAGGGAAAAAAAGGGAAGGCTCTGCTATCACTGGAAATAACTCTTAATAGAGAAATAAGAACTGCAAATAAACACATCGGTGAAACAGCTGATAAAAGAAGGTATTTACGCCTTTCTCTCACCCTTCCACAGTCATGATTGTGTTTTGGCATGAGTTTTTTTATGTGATGGAAGTTACCCCCCCAAGCCAGTCATTTGAATGTTAAATCACTTAATGCTACACTGCTTGAGTATTTCTGCTCCGAAAAAAAAGGTCTGGCAGATGTCCACATTGGTTGCTATTTTTGTCCTTGCTGAGGATTAAAGTTGTGCATCCACTGCAATCACCAGAGCAGAAGATTTCATGTTAGCTGAGACATTTCTACAGCACTGACTGCAGGTGCAGATGTAAAAATGAAAAATAAATAATCATTCTGCTACTTCCCTGTGGGTCTAGAAATTGGCAATCACAACTTTCTCACAGCCACGTCTATTCCAGTACGACCAGTTTATTTGAATGCTTGTGCATGAGCTGTAAGCAGCTGCATCCCACTGAAGAAGGGGAATGCACAGGTCTTTGAGTTGACTGTGCCAACTGCTTTGGTTTGAGAGCTGTCCTTGTTTTCTTAGCAGGAGCTGTAGACCATTCCTAGGCTCGGTGCTCTGTCTGCTAATACAATGCTGCCTGCATCATGACTAAGAGCCAATCAAAGGACATCTTTAATTGGGGTCAGGAAAGCCCCAAAGGAAAAAAACAATCCTCTTAAAATACAGTAACAAATCAGGGGCTTTCTTATCTTATTTTATTAGACCTTTATGAGTATAGTGCTGCAACAGCAGCTGATCTGATCCAAGTTAAATATTAGATGCTTCCATTTAATAGAAACCACAACAACTATCTCCTAAGATCTGGAACACAACAGATACATAGTTGCCCTTGATTTCGATGAAAGCCAGATGAAAGTTTTCAGCCAAATAGTTTTATGAGAAATTTTGTCAAAAAAAAAGTTTAATTATCTAAGCAATCTGTTTCATTACGTCAGAAAAGCTCACTTTTAGTTTGGACTTACCTGCTGGTTTTATATTGCATGGAAAACAAGATATACCAAAACCATAACAAATATTAAAGGGGTATCTCAAAATGCTTTATTTTGAGTAACACACTAGCACTCTGACTTTCATCCTCATTTGGAATGAAGAGTCATTTTGAAACCTCAGCCTGAGTTATGAGACAAAAATTAGACTTTCACAATTTGGGAAAATACATACATACATAGTTTCTACCCAAACATGATAGATGTGTTATTGGCTCTTCCTGGGGACCCCTACAGACATCCTGTGAAGTGCTGGGACCCTGTGATCCACTCTAATAATCAAAAGAGGGGATTGAAGTGAATGTGGTGAGTTTTTTTTCCAGTACATGGGCAAGTGTGATACGCAGGGGGACCTATGATGCTGTGGGGAGATCAGGGAATCAGGAACATGAAGAGAAAACTATTTAGAAATGAGGATGGGGCTGGAAAGTGGAATAGGGCATGGGAAAAGGAAAGGCCATGGAGCAAAATATTTCAACAAAGTGCTAGAGACAGATCTGTGGTGAGAAGAAATGCTTTGGTAGAAGAATCTCAAAACTTGTAAAAAGTGCTTTGATATGCAGAAGCGAAAGATACCATCATTCCTGCAAGTCAGCTAAGAGCACCGTGGAAGGGGCTGTGAATGGGTCAAGTCAATCTAAGGAGGGAGAACTGGCTCTGAAGATAAGAAACCTCATGTCCATGTGTTGGAAAGTGTTTTCTCAGAGCATGAAAAATGTTCAGTTACTTTAACCTTGAGGGGTACCTCACCTGCAGGGAGTGGGTAGAGCTCTGTCTTTGCTCTCTGTGCAGGAGCACTGGGAGTGAGTCAAGGGCAGGCAAGCACTGCCGGGACCAAGGGACAAGCATTCCCCCGTGGCTTTCTCAGAGCCATCCTTTAGGGTCGGGATTACAGTCCATTGCTTGGTGTTTTTTCTCCCAGTTTCCCTGGGATACTGGCTCCTTGATTAATTCCTATATGTATTGCCACGATTTACTTTTAATTTCTTCCTGTCCCTCTGGCACTATAACTAAGGCTTTATGGATAAGAATGAAGTCTGCGATTCCCTTGGATGGCCAGTGTTGATAAGCTGCTATGTTCATTTTGACTGGCTCTGCACAGCAAGAAAGTATGGGGTTTGTTTGTTTCAAAGTGCTTCCGTAAATAAACTGTAGCTTTACAGAGACTTCCCTTTCTGTTTCCCACCTCACTCCCTGCATCAGCCACTAATGCACTTCTTTACCCTAGAAGATCTGCTTCCCGTTTATCCATGGCATTTTTAAGGGTAAGTGTAGCCAACTAGAATAAAAAAAAATATGGAGAGAGAAAAGGAGATTTTTCTTACACTCTTTGTCAGGATGTGCTGCGTAGTTTTGGCTCGTCTTCGGGCAGGACTACATGCTGCAAAAAGAAGAACAAGAACGTGGTCGGAATGCAGTGGAGGTAGACACGTGCCTCTAAAAGTCCTCTGTGAAAATAAACTGGGTGCACAGTAGGGAGAGGGGAAAGCAGAAGAGGTTTAAGGAAGATTCCAGCTGAAACAACTCAAAAGAAAGTCCTTTTTGATGTCATCTTGGAGGCCATGCTCTAGCTATACAACACAGACATCTGCAGGCACAGAGCAACAGCCTATCCCAAGCTTCTGCACCTTTCCCATAGACTTCCAGAAGGAACTATCCTTCCTCAGTTTTGATTTGGCCTCCCACCTGCCAGTGTTTCAGAGAGGTCTGTAATTTTATCTAGACAGGGATTTTTTCAATAAGATCAAACTCCTTTGTGACACCATTTCAATTTTTCTGCATGATGTCCAAAGCACAGCATTTGAACTAAACCTAGTATTTTATTTTTCAATCCTCAAAATGACCCATTTGGTTCTTTAGCTTGCGGAATTTTGCTTAAAGTCTGTTTCTCAATTTTATTTCTTAGACCCATGATGACACCAAAGTCATAGGCAAAACAGAATTACTAGGCACACGAGACTATAAGCCAAGCTTTTGGCTGGACTGGAGATTGGTTTTGGTGAGGGCTTCATTGGACAAAGTGAAGATTGTTTAAATACTTGTTGTATGAGTTAGACTTGAAACTGTCCTGGAAGAAACTGTGATACTCCCAGGTCTTTGTCTCATCTAGAATCTCATCACCCTCCCCTGTGTTCAGGCTACAGGAGCTGCAGGGTTTAGCAGCCAGTGAGAGAAACAGTCCTGCAAAAACCTGCCAAATTTGGAGAATTAACTCCAATTCTAAAGGCTGACCCTGAGGGCAAAGCATGTGAATGGGGTTTCCTATTCAGACTCCATGTGTAATCCCAAGGTTTTGAAGAACCAGGAAGGCTTGTTATGGGACAATGAGTGACTCCTACTCTTTAGGTGAGCTTTTCTTTACATTGTTGGCATGCATTTACCTCCAGGAGTTGCAGTGCTTATCGCTGCTATGTATTTCTACGTATTATACTATGCATATGCTATTACCCTTTGCAGAGTTTTGAAGCAGTGGAAGCAGCTGGAGGTCATCCAAGGCTGCTTGTTACTGCAGCCAAACTCCTCTCCTCAGATGGCAGAATAACAAGTGACTGGGCTTTCCAGGGCTCTGGTTCATGCAGAGCTGGCAGTGAGACCAAAGTCACTCTTCCTAGACAGCTTGTGTATGTCTAACAGCCACCCCTCCATACCCCAGAGAGGATATAAATACTGACCATTAGGGCCCCACTGGAGAAAAACAAATTTTTGGCCTGTGCTCTGCCCATAGTGAAGCAGGACAGGAGCATGGGAGGTGAACAGTCTTGCCCAAGGTCCCTGCCAGTGACCCAGTGCAGCACAGGGCACTTCCACACGGAACTCATCACAACTAAGTTATGTCTGCTTAGAGGTTGAGAGTGTGCTGAGCTGTCAGTTCGATTACAGTCTGTTTTGCATGGTGTGATATCCTCAGGGATCCTTACTGTCTTCTCCTGCAGGACACATTTTATATTTTAAGCCACAGTGAGTGTAGAATGAAAGCCAGACAAACATAATGAAGGTGGCTTGTTTTTTTTTCTTCTAGGAATATGTTGTAAGTTGTTTTTGAAGCTGCTTCTATCACTTTTACTTCTGGAATTTCATCATGTGAGGACTAAACTAGTTGCTCACAAGCAAAATACTCAAGTGCAGAAAAGTTTAGTGATGAAAGGAATTATCTTCTTATATCTCTGATATTTTAGTATTTTATGTATTTTACCAGACAGTGTGAGGAGCACAGTTTATAGAGATTTCTACCAGAAGCAAGTGCTGTTGTGCTGTTGTACATTCCCTAGTTGGTGCACAAGGAACACACATAAATGTGCCTAACAGTAATAATAAATTTGCATATTTTCAGAGTCTGCATGATCCACAGTCCAACTCACTGCCTGTTGTCCTCCAGAAAAAGTGGCAAAAGCCTTACAGGGGTTGAAGAAAGGCACGGCATGAAAGGAAAGTCACAGCACCAGCAAACATGCAATTATTGAATAGCCATTGAAAGAGGAGTGAATCACGGAGGTAGCCAGAAGTGACCCACTTGTGCGGGAATACAGTGGCAGCAATGCAAACAGTGGGGCTGTGGGGCTCTCCCTGCAAACACAAATTTCTGCAGAGAGTGGGAGAAGGAAGGGAAGAATGAGTCCTGGCAGATAATGTATCTGGATTTGCCTGAAAAAGGATATTTGCATGTACAGCCGAGCTTTCAGGCAACAAATACAATTACAGTGATGGTTCACTTTGTCATTTCCACTTATATTCTGAAACTAAGCAGCTGAGAGCTTATGCTTGCAGCTTGCAAGTAAAGATCTGATCTGGCCCCACAATTTGTTTTCCCTGCTTTTCCTTGCTTTCTTGTTGCTGAAATATGCAGCCATTGAGTTTAAACTAATTTGTTCAATCAAATGCAGGCTGGGCTTTGTCCGGTTCTTACTCTTCATTACAAGCAATTAATGTTAATCATGCATTCATTTCCAGGGCATGGCTTTGGAAATGTTCCACTTATTGAGCCAGCAGACTTAAATTCAACATTCATGCAGTTCACCCTCTTCATCTGAGCTGCTAACTGCTCGCAGAACTTCATTCTCTTTTCTATTACACAGAATAGCCACACAGTTGCAAGCTGTCACTTTAGCAGTTACCTCATAGGTATAGCAACACCGATTCCAGATCTCCCAATTTTGCCAGCGCAAAGATTTTAACACAGCCACAATGTCGAAGCACCTGCACAGATTAGCTGGAGAAAGCAGCAGCGAGCGCTGGGCTGCAAGCAGAGCACAGCACGGCAGAGCAGATGAGCTGCTCACTTCAGAGATTTCCCTGGTGCTAAACACCCCAACCCTCTAAAAGGCAACACCGCAGCGGTTGTTACAGTTCCCATGTACTCACATTTGGATGAAATCACAGTGGTGAAAACCTCTAAATTTTCATCGCTGCAGCTGTAAATCTGGTGCATTTTCCACGTCTCCCTACTGACTGCCTTTCAGCTTCATGCAACCGCTCTGAACTTCTGGTAAATAGGTTTCACTAATCCAATCTGGCTCTGTGATCATTGTCCAGATCTACAAAGGACAGACTGATGCTGTGATCTCATCTCATTCCATATTCTTCATTGCAACATTTTCTGCTCCCATCTGCCTTTCTATGAATAATATTAACACAAAGATTTAATTTAGCTGTTACTTAAACATCTACTCCGATAGAAGCATTTTATTTTCTATCTCCTTTTACCAGTTTGGAGAGTCCTCTGTAATAAATATCTAATAAATAGGCAAACAAATTTTTACAGAAATACTGCAAGGATTTTTAAAATAAGTTGGGTTGATACTTTGTGTACTTTAACACATTTATCATTAAGTCTGTTTCTTCCCTGTAATGAGGAGCTTATTCTAGGTGCATTAAGAAAAGCATTTTCTGCATTACATTTTAAGTTCATAAACTAGTACCTGAACCCTGGGCATTTCAAAGTAAAATTTCAAATGCAGATAACTTAGGAAGGGCAAGTCAGGCTGATGTGTGTAGGTCTCTGTGCCCCCTGCATAGACAGGTAGCTCAGCCATGTAGGCATGACTTGATGGTTCTGGGGCCTAACCCCATATTTATGCACTTCGATAAAGGGTCTCCTTGCCAAAGCTTGTCATTTCTTGGTGCTCCCATCAGAAATTGTTCCTTTCCACTGCTATGAAAATCCACCCCCTCAACTTCTGGTGACTTACTGCTGCCATGGACACCTAAGACAGAAAATTTTGGCTTGTAGGCTCCAGCAACTGATGTACTAGAAACACTTTCAAGTGTGAATAATGATATTAAATTCTATCAGTCTAATGAATAGCCTTCATTACTATACCACGTGTGTCTAACTAACACAAAAACAAGTGCTGTCTTCTCCTATAGATGTCTGCCACCAACAGTCCCAGATGGAAAGTGCCAGTGAACATGGGCTGTCACTGTCATATTGATGAACATTTCTTATTTGAAAGAATAAATTTTGGGCAAATACACATCCTGAACCTAGAAGCATTTTGGTTGAGTGTAAGGTGTCACTGTTTCAAGAAAAAAAAGGAGTGAAGAGAAGCTGGTATCACTTGTCACCTCCCAGGGCAGGCTCCTGCTGTCCAGGGGCAGCAAAGCCATTGCAGGTCTGGGGGCATTGTCCCAGGAAACCGTAGTGCACTTGAAGCAGGCAGTGGGACGGCAATATAATCAACCAAAAGTTCAATTAGTTTTTGATTTATTGCGCCACATGTTCTGCTTGTATGACTGATGTCATTAACATCAGGCTCGGCTGGTGCATTCATCTGTCCCTGCCCGGCTGCCTCTGAAGGCACACACACTCAACAGATGGGGAGCTGCACCGGCGCGAAGGCAATTGTTTACCACCCTATTGTTCCTGTGTCAAGCAATCAAACCAAATCCATTACCCACCGAGAAAAAGATCAGCGCACCGTCCATTCAGCAGTGAATGGGGCAGAGGCGGTTATGCAGGAGGCTTTAAAGCTTTCAAAAGGATAAAAAAAAAATAATGAAGACCAACACTGAATAGTCGATCAAAAAAGAAAGGAAAAAAAAAGCTAGAACAAATCTAACCCTTTATTTCACCTTCAGATATTCGGAGTCCTATGAGAAAAGGCACTTTTGGATCCGAGTCATTGTTTTCCTAATTCTAGGTATGACTTAGAGATATTTTCAAATCACAGATGAGGTTTAACATTACAATAAGTATTGGGCACTTTGTTCTGTTGAGGGGTTGTGAGGATGTGGAAACTGAAGTCAGGAGCTGGTTACCAGCTGCATTACAGGACAGGTAGGCTCTGAACAACATCCACCTTTACAAGGCACGGGGTGCTGGGGATGAGTCACTCTGTACAGAGAGCTGATGAAAGGCTCTCACATCACTTCCAGACAGAAGAATAGGGTTCAGGAGGGCAAATATAATATGTCTCGTCTGTGGTCCTCACCTGGGAATGAACTTTCCCCTGTTCATGAAAGTGAGTTTGCTGCTTCGTTTTGTCCAGATCTTACAGGGTAGTCGAGCACTATGAATGCCCAAGGTTTTGCAAGAAATCTTAATGTGGCTTCAAGAGAAGGACTGCACATATTAGACTACTATATCTATGAGATATTTTGGGCAAATATCCTGGTTTAGCTACAAAACAGGTGTAATAATACCTGCCAAGGAAGGATAGTACAAAGTTCAACTGCATGCTACCGGCTGAAGAACAGCAGGCAGTAATTTTACACTTGAGGGAGATATTCTCCATGATGTCCAGTCTAGGAACTGCTTGCAGAGCCATTTCAGACGATTTCACATGATATCTCCCTCCAGCTCCCTACTGACTTAGCAAGGGTCCGGTCTGTTGTGGGAACAGGAAAACAGTTTTTGATTCTATGAATCAGTTTTTTTCTTCCTCTAATTACCTAAAACATCTAGAAACTAGGCTGATTTTTTTTCCTCACTGCTAGAGACAATTAATAACCTATTAACTGAATACACATGGTGCCACTGCAGCCATGAGGAGACCCAAACAAGTTTTTGCACCAGGGTATATCTTTGCTTGAGGACTCACAAGCAAACACATGGAATCCATATTCCTTCCTGTGGGCTGTGATAAAGCTGTTTAGCAAATACCTGAACTCCCAGTGTTTTCAGGAAAGGATATTTGCTGGTATAAGAACTTGGCAACCAAAGGTGAATGGGGACAGCTAAGGAGAAGGAGGAGGGGGAGAATTCAGGACACCAGAACAGACATATGGTGTCTGACAAAACATCCATCTAACCTTATCTGCAGGTCTGGGACACGGAAGGTATTTGATTCTTGGGAATGTGGCCAGAAAGGAGGGGAGGGTGGAAGATAAGAGATATTTACTGAGGCTGAGGGAAAAACAACAGTTGAAAACAGCAGAAGGCTCAGCAAACCTTGTCAACATGGCAGAAAATCCCATAAATTGGCAAAATATCCTTCTGGGGAGGTGGCAAGGGTGCTTTTCCCATGGTCTGGTTCTGTTCAGCCACGTTTGGAAGAAACAAGCATAGGTGCTTGTTCTGTTTAACCAAGCATGCCAGAGCTGGTAAACTTAAAAGGAATAAAATTTTAAAAATCAAATATGGCTACAAAAACTGCAATTAAACTTTGAGTGATTTAAGTATTGGGAACATTCAGACCTTATTTGTCCTGGTCCTTATGAACAAAGGAATCCCTTTCCAGAGCAGCATTCTTCCAGTAAATTTGGTGAGAAGCATCCTGGTACTCTCAGCATATGCAAGAGATATTGCCAAGGGATTCCCTGGCTCATAGAGGACAGAGCTCTTCCCAAGGCAGGTCTCTGGCTTCTCCCTGGATCTTGTACCTTGTTGCATAAGAGGCAAATCTAATCTGTACTGAGCCACTTGAGCCTATTTCTTACTGTTAGCTGGGCAATATGATAAGGATAAACCCCAGGTATTTTTGGAATAGGATTGTGAAACATTTAAAAATAAGATGGGATAAAATTGCACATGCATGTGGCAGACATCTACTCTAAAACACTTCTGCGTAGTGCAAAGCTAGCATCTTTTTTCTTTTTGTGGAAGGAAAATCACTTTGTTTCATTTTAGGGCCACAGAATTGTGACTGCAAATGACAGAAAAGGAAAACCAACCAAAAAAGAGCAAAATACAAAGTAAGCTTCTATACATAATCTGTTGTTTTTCTCTGAATGAAAGAAAGAGAGAGGCAGATACACTATCAACAACTTCACCTTGCACTTATTAGCAGACTGCAGAACTAGTTCAGAATTGAAGCACCACTGTGTGACTGAAAGGTCTGTGAATAAGTGAAGAATTTTCAAAAGTACCATTTGCATCTGGCAAAAAGCTGCTGTAACAGATTTCCCCTGAGTGGGAAAAAGATTGAGGCATTTAAAAAACATTTTGAGCTTTAAATTCACTACAGGGGACCAGGAGAGAGAGATGTAGGAGCTGTGCAGTTTGAAAGAGCTAGTGCACGGACTTCTTTCCTAATCAGGAGGGGAAATAGCAGCCAGACCTGGAAGCCAGGCTGAAAGCAAACCCCCACTAGTTATGGAGAGATACTGCAGGATCCTGAGGAAAAATCCCTCAAGTCTGGTTGGCTTCTCTTAAAAAAGTTACATATAGATAATTGGACATTCACAAATTTGCCCTAAGCTTGTAAAACACACTTGAGTAAGTCCATATGATGATTAGCAAGAAACACAATGCCCAGCACTGCAAGGTTCAAGTCCCGCAGAGCTTGTGCCAGCAGCAGGGATTGCACTAAGCCAGCATTAACGCCAGGGCGAGGCTGAGCACGTGGAGGCTTAACGAGCTTTCATATACTGCTCATGTACTGGTAATCCACAGAAAGCATTAAAAATGTCAACAAAGGAACACGATGTCCAAACTGGGCTGTGACAACAATAGCTCATTAAGATGCTAAAATTTAATTACATTTGTCTTTGACTTATTAATTTTTTAAGCTAATTGATCAGTGAGGTATTTATTCCCCTGACAAAGCACAATGATTTTTGGGTAGGGTTTTTTCACTCCTGATTTTTTTCCTTTAAAACATTTTAAGATTATTTTGACTGTTGGCTCCTGCTATGAACATAACCATTTTTGGGCAACCAAACACATTAATTAAAGCTTGTTCTGTGGTTCCTGGATTTATGCAGCGGTAGCCCTCTTGCTGCAACTACATACTGTGTCTCAAACCATACAGTGTAAAATCCACTGCTCGGGTAACCAGGCACAAAATACTTAGGATTTCTCCAATGGATAAGGCTAAACAATAAGGGAACTGCAACCGTCACCTTACATGTCTCCAGTGTGTCCTCGCACAGCCATCAAGCTCCTTTTGTCGCGTGCAATACATGTGCTTTGTGGGGATGAAGGTCTTTGGAGGGTATCAGATGGCATTGCCTCCTCTGGCTTAAGTTCTGTGTGAAAATGGGATTAAA